TCTAGGGTTTCTAAGATCCTATCTCAAGAAGCAGAGTTGTCTGTGAATTCCCTATGGTTCGAATTCTTGTAATTCGAATTAGGGTTTCTCCTCTTTTCTTTGTGATTAAGAAACCTCCTAATCTCATTAGGATTTATCCTAATCCAAATCTGTATTTGGATAAGGAGTCTTCTTAATCCTATCTGCAGATTAGATCAGCCCACTCCTGATCTTATCAGGAGATTACTAGATTCAAATCCTAATTTGAATTTGGTCTTGATGAGTGGATAGGGTTAGGACCCAATCCTTTTTTGCTTGACCTAATCTCAGATCCGCCCCTTTAAGTGACTGATCAAATCAACCCAGTTCGAAATGGGTTTTAGGCCCAATAAGTATTAAGTTCTCAATAGGCTTCCAAAACTGCTGCCGAGTTGGGCTTCTTTGTATGGCGTGGAACCTAAGCATTGATCTACACATCATCAAGATGGGTTCGGCCCAACCCTTATTACAAGGCCTAGCCGAATTCACTGGAAAGCCTAGTGAACCCCTTGAGCCCATCACATGGACTCTATGGTCCCAACACTTACACTAAGTGGTCCATGGGTCCAGTCATCTTATAAAAACCCAGGGACTATGTGCAGATGCAAGATTAGCCCATCAGGTATAACCCTAAATGGCCTTACACTCAACCTCTCAGCCCATAATGATCAAACACTACCCGACAAGAGAGGACCTCTCCCTCGGCTGCAAGGAACAGTGTTGCACTCTCTACTCACATGGATCCAAGGAATTAAAACCATTTGCAAATATTTTGAAATCGTACATATCTATATATCATATATATAAATTTTGCAAAACAAAATTCCAATGATTGAAATCAACTACCAGTAGTTAGGTTTCCATCAGAGAGAGTGCATCCCTGATCATTATCTTTGTCCAACAAAGGGGCTGATCCTGTCACTATGATCACCCATTCAGATGAATTCTCAGACTGTCCCAACATACCTAGGTTTTGACCCCCGCTAAAGATCTCACTAATTGGCATAATAAAGATAGCCCAATCCGACACCTAGTGCAGCATCATAATCGAGTCTAGGGGTCAGGTGTTACTTTCTAGTTTTGCCCATCAATCTCCAAGGTCCAGGGCAATACTGGAAATCTGGTCCGGTTCAAAGATTCAAGTAATCCTACACTATATGTGCTTTGGATCTCAACCTAGCAGCTGAGAAAGGCCACCCCAACACTTGGCAGCACACCAGTGTCAGCCTTGGTAGGACAAATCTCCCCAGACTTATTCAACGGCTGTGAACATTCTA